TACTCCCTCTAGGGGATGGGAGATGGGAAAAGCAGCTGGGGAGGGGGGTGGGGGAGACTCTAGTGGCCATTTTTCGCCTTCGCGTGGATCGTTCGTTGATCGGTGCGATCTGGGACACAGACGCACACGCGTGTTTGTGTCGGGAAAGGGGATAGGGGGAGAGAGGAGTAAAGGCATTAGCCCCACCCTTTCCATGATGACGATGACGGGGAAGAAGGGGACTTCAGCACGAGGTGGTGGGGGAGGGATACCTTGTTTTAATCGTTTCCGGTTGTGTGCATGTGTATGCGGATGGAATGCACAAAACGGTGTGGCGAACAACATTAACTACCTGCTGATGTGTGCACACATGGCTGTCCTGTCATGTCCTGTACTGGTGTCGGCTAATAAAAAGTAGCAATGGAAGGGAGGTGGAAAGGCGTGGAAGGCTCTGTACATAATAAATCCGCACATGTTCAATGTTGAAGAGCAGTATTTACCGCAAATGCGCAGATTTCTGGTTTTTTCTACAAAAAAAATGTGCCCTAGGCTCATGTGCCAAATTGTGGGCAAGGACGTTTTTACGAAGTACAAAATTTGAACCCCCAAACCGTTCGAGCCAAACCGGGACTTCTGTATACACTTTCCTCAGAGGAAAAAAATGTATATTAATTGGTACAATCTGCATCTCTTGGGCCAATTTGTCACAGTACAGGTTAGATATATCCTGATTGAACTTATACAGGACTGACTGTCAGAACCAGCAAAACTGAGTGTCCCATTACAGCACTTCTCTTAAAGTCCTGTACAAGTTACATGCCTTAGTCGAAAAAAAATATCATCACCACGCACTGCTTTAGGTGGCCATTCAATTGTTTTTGCCAATTCATTCTTCAGCAGTTCGGTCTGCAATAAAGTATGAGGGGGTTTCACTCCTGCCGTTTAAGTCTCTCAACTACTCTGAATGCCTTATGTCTCATAATATCTTAGGTGGTAATTTTATTTGCTGCGATGTAATTCAGTAGCTGAAACTAATGCAATATTATCCGGTCATTAGTGCGGTGTCCAGAACACACACTCATAAATAATCCCAACCAGCGGACATGCGTTCCTACCACAAAGGTAATATCACTACAGCACATGGTCTTAATGAGAGAATTGCACCAAGATGGATTCTCGTTGGGGGAACACCGCAGTTCCCACACAGAGCTCATCTGGTGGAAATAGGTAAGAGCAATTATCGCAACGGGTACGCATATGCAAGGGATGCCGTCGTCGTTGTCGTCGTCCTGTTGCTCGCACCCATACATATGCGTGATACTGCCGAAATCTGCCCCTATCCCCCCTGCCCTCCTCTGTCCATCAAACAGCCCACTGCGTCCCTTTAGTTATCGCTGGCTAGCTCTCACGGGAACTGGTTACCGCGTTCAACACAGGTGCTTCACGGACGGCACGCCGATAAGTGCGTGTATGTTTGCCCGCTCGCTCGCTCGTTTGCCCGCCCATGTGCTTAAAACAACAAACTAAGTGATTCAGATTGTTCGGGGAGTTGATTTGAAAAACTAAGGATGCACATTTGCTTGTCATTTGGTTATGCACATTAATGCGAGGTCACCGGCACCCATAAAGGGGGTGGAGTAAGACAGTCGTCTGGCCTCCATTAAGTGGCTACTTTAAATCATACACTTGAGTTCGGGTTTAAGCAACTTTGATTCACTGTTCATTTTCCTGTACCACTTACTTCGATGGTATTAGTAGAAATAAAGGGCGTTTCTATGTGGGTAGCAAGTGTAAAGGTTAATGCGACTTTTTACCATTCTGGAATGAATACATGCTAGAGAGCCACTTAAATGGTATAGGTAAACTGAGATTATTTTGTTTACTCAGGAGTCATATGCAATACAACGACAGATGGCAGTCCCAAGGCAAGCAACACTTCATCCCCACAAAGTAAGACTAGACTTCTGTGTGTGCGTGTGTGTATGTGGCAGACTACAGACCCAACTGAGCTTCACTGCCTCATCCTCTATGCGCCTCCTCCTTTGCTTGGTCTAATCAGACAGTCGCAAAATCGGTGTGAGGTAGGAGCGAAGATTATTCAATCCAAGCCTAAATGCAAAACATTTTATTTATTTCAGGTTCACCTTCCGAATGCAACATCACAACTGTGGAGTGCATAGATTCGATGGGGGTTACGTGTTGTGTGCAAGGATAGACAGTATTTTGGGTTGGCAAAGCCTCGAGAAATGACTCGATAAGAGTAAGTATTCTCAACAGTCCTTCCTAAAGAACAAGGTAGATAAGCTACCTTGAACTATGTCTAAATAAAATCACAAAGAGGTCGCTCTCACGGCAATGTGGTGGTGTCCTAGTGTGATCCTTGCTTGATTAGACCCATTGATAAGAGGTCGTCGGGACCCACATGAGGGGTAGGTAAATGTTACTTTTGAAACAACCTCTCATTCAGAGTTATGGCTATGGTCATATGGGGCACCAGTTTGTGTGTTTTAATTAACTTGACTTTAGTATTTTGTTTTAATGTTTATGCAACCCTTCAGGCTCTCCTACCTCCACGGCATAGCCTCCCAGTTCCCCCTTAGATTGCTAACGGATCTTCCTCTCTACTGGTAGGGTTCATTACTATCCTGGGGAAGGGCTTAGGGATTACACTACATTTTATTCACTTAGTACTTAATTTTGACTAACGATAACAATGACGCATCAAGGAGAATATTTTTCTCAACTTTCGTCATTCGGAGTTATCTAAAATGAAGTGGTCAACCCTTATTTGGTTAGAGAAGATTTAAAAATCGGGCTTCTCTTCCACCTAGTGCAACCGGATTTCCTCACTATCCAACTGTGTGGAAAAAGTGGTAATAGATTATCAAGTAAGCCTCCTACTACGAACGAGATGATATTAACAGGTTATGATGGATCCAATTCCAAGGAAGAGGACATCAGTCGTAGTAAAATGAAAGAAGAAAAGGCGAGTTACAGTGAGAGTTCAAGTTACCAACGGTGTTGTATCGTAACTACTTGGTGATGAAAAGAACTGATAAGAGGTCATCAGAACCCACATAAGGGTTATTAAATGGTCATAAAAGTTGGTCAATATGCGGCTGTAAATAAAGTAGAAAAGTGAAACTGTTGTTTGGGTACAAATGGTATCAATAAAATCATCTTGGTTTTGCCATTTAGTCGGTTGTTTAGAAAATTTGTTTGTTTGAATTGCATCATTTAGGTTATTTGATGCTGCCTAAAAGAAAATGATGATTGAAAAGTAAAAAGTTACTGGGTGAAATCCTAGCAGTTTTTCCTCTAAAAAGGTTTCATCAAATAATAAAAGAATTTATACGTTGTAAAGCTATCTTTAGTTACTCACAATAAAGTTACTCATGGTAAAACACTAAAATATTTGGTGACCAGACAAGATTACTGTCACTTGACATAAGAAGGGAGAAAATTTTAGGGATGAATTATACCACACCAGTACCACGGCGCAGTATTCTTTACTGTGCTCTCTATTCTACTACTCCTGCCCCACTTTTATCTCCCCTTCTACCCCCATTTCTCCATCCTTCCCATCACCTCAAGTCTGTGATGTGGTTCAAGCACATCCGCTTGAGGAACTCAACCAAGGTGAACCCACCTCCATAGTCCAGATACTAATCATAAACCTCCAACTCCTCCACTCTGTTGTACGGTCTTGTAGAAGGTGAGGAATGTGGTTTTCGGTGTGTGGTGTATGCGGTATGCAGCGTGTGGTGCAAAAGCTCACTTCTCACTCCTGCTTGATATATGCGGTCCTCCTGATGATTCACTGACACCTAGATGCGTCATATTGGGCACAGTTGTCTACTTCGAAAGATTACTAAGAATTACGTGTAGGTGTCACTGTTGATGCAAGCAACCAAGACACCAATGTGTCATAAGCAACTCTCAGTTAGTCAAGTGATGATACATGTGGTTCACAACACCGACAACATCTGTGATGGGAAAGTAATGGTGAAGGTTGTCAGGGGAATCGATCCGATCCCCTGTACACACCATGCAACAACAAATTATAGATAACGGATGATGGATGGCTGATAAGGGAAGATGGGGAACAGGTGATAGAGGGTCAAAAGGTGGTCAACTCCTTCATGTTCCTTACGCTTTTATGCACCTTACATAGACACGCCATGCTCTATGCACGTAAGATTGCTTGCTGACAGCTAAGTCGACCAATCCACTGATTGGTTGTCTGACTGGCTGATTGACTGACTGAGTTTAGATGAGGTGAGACGGGGTGAGATTAAAGGAACGTGTCTATTGCATTGCGACGCTCCTTAAGTGGACGCACGCGTCATTGGTTACCGCCACAGGATTCACTCATTTCCCACTCATTATCCACTCCACACTTCTAAGACACGCACTATTTCATGCCCACATCCCAAAACTGTCCTCGCTGTCTGCTGGTATGTGTGTAGTGTTTTCTATTAATCTCTGGCCTTTTATACGTTGAAGGCCAAACAAGTTCTGCTGACGTCTACTGCCCCGCCTCCTCCTACAATACTTCTCCCAGTGATGGACATGTCTTGTCTTTGCTTCACTTGACGACAAGATCACAAGGTTGAACGGACAAATGGTAGCTGCAAGAGGGACAGAAATGGAGGTGGCCTCGGTGGAGGTGATGTAAAGGTGTTTGTTTGCTTGTAATTGTAATAGATTGTGATGAGCCATGGTTTAACAAAATATATTAAAAATTTGTGTGGAATTGTTTCTTTTTTATTCAAAAAAGCTTAAAGGCCTATTTTCTCACCTTACGACATTCATATTTGTAGATTTATGATCCATTTTATGTCTGTACTATCCTTTTCATTTATTAATCTTCTCGTTAAGGTTTGCCATTATGTTAGGATCTCT